GCGCCACGCGATGTCGGCGGGCGGCCGTGAGGCGGCGGCGCAACGCAAGGTCACGTTGCTGCCCGCGGTGACATAGACGGCTGGGGCAGCGTCTCGAGTCGAGGAGACCGTGATGACAGGGGGGTCTGGGCCGTCTGGTGGAAGGAGGAGGTCGGGATCGCGGGGGTCGGAGTCACTCGGGACTCCTCCAGGACTTTCGGAGACTGGGCCCCCAACCCCCTTCTCCCGAGGGACTCAAGACTCCCTACCCCGACCCTAGACATTCCCCCACTCACAAAAGACGCTGACGTCGGCTGCAGCCTCGGTGGAGCCAAAGGGGCTGCGGACGTGGCAAGTGTACCGGCCGTGGTCGCTGCGCACTGGGCGCCCGATGACCAGCTGGTCGCCCTTTGCGCGGATCCTGGGCGGCTGCGCTCCCTCGGGGTCCGCGGCCTCCAGGGCGCGTCCATCCCGGCTCCAGCTCAGTTCCCCTCGAGCCGGCTCCCACCCCACGCAGCGTAGCCTGAGCTCGGCTGCTCCCTCCTCTGTCTCTGGGGCCTCGGGCTGCATCGACAGCTGGGGTAGGGGCTCTGGGAGAAGGGGGACGGGCTCAGGACCCGCTCCGGGAGCCTGCCCCCCAGTCCTCTCCTCCCTTACACCCAAGACTTTGGGCCCCAGCCGCTGCCTCCTCTTAACCCAGGTTCGGGCTTCCATCCCTTTCCTCTCACAGACCCATGAGTCTGACCCCCCAGCTGTCCTCTCTAAGACCCAGGAGATAGGAAGGGGAGGCCTCCAGCCCCTTCCTCCCTCATACCCAAGAATCCAAGTTCCCAGGAGTCTTGATCCCACGTCCAAACTTTCTTAAGCACCCCTGTCTTGGCCCTTAGCCCCTCTCCTCTTCCCTCGACCCAGAAGTCCTCTCTCCCCCATCCAGGGACCCCTTTCTCTGGGGAGGAAACATCCTCAGAACACACTACAGTGACTTGCCCAAAGGTCTCCAGAGCAGAACAGGCCCTGCAACCTGCACTCCAGACCCTAGGGACCACTTACCATACACGCCCACTGTGAATTCCCGAATCTGCCGCGAGACCCCGCCCCGGATGACCTCAACTGTGTAGATCCCCGCATCGTCCAGTTGGGCAGAGGCGAGTTCCAGACCTCCTTGGGCCTGGTCAAATTGCAGGCGTTCTTGGCGAGAAGGGTCCAGGCTAAGCAGAGGAGCCCCCGGCCCCAGACCCCCAGCTGCCAGCACCTTGGAGCCCCGGCGCCAGACCACTAGGGGCGCAGGGGGACCAGGGCTGGGGACTGGAACCAGGGGAAGTCGGATAGTGGTCCCCACCAGCACAGCAAAAGGCCCCCCCACCTGCTGGGGGAATTTTGCCTCGGGGTGAGTCTCAGCAGGAACTTTGGATTCTGGGCTCTGCGTGGAGTTTTCAAGATCTAGATCCTCAGGGGAGAATTTTGAACCTGGGGTCTCAACAGATACTTGGGTATCCGGGACTTGAGCAAAAATGGTTGAAGCTGGGGTCTTAACAGAGAAGGAAGGCTCGGGGTCTTTGGCAGAAACTTGAGAATGCGAGATATCAGGAAATACTTTGGAACCAGGGATTTCAGAGAAGGTGGGATCTGGGCTCAAATTTTGGCCCTCCACAGTAACATTTGGCCAGAAGGACCCAGACACATCGTTTGAATTCAGGGCCTCAGGAAACCAGTTGGAATCAGGGATTTCAGCAGAGGCTTTAGAACCTGAAGACTGATCTGGGAATTTCCAGCTGGGGGGTTTGATGGAGGAAACTTTCAAAGCCAGGCCCTGGGAGGAGCTTTCTGAGTCTGAGGACGAGGCAGAGGAGAAGTTGGTTTGCTGAAGTTCAGGAGAGGCTCTGAGGGCCAGGACCCCTATTCTGGAGGCTGCAGAGGAGAGGAGGGGAAGATGTTGGGGGAGGCTGCTGAGAACGGGGACTGGTGGGAAGAGGACCAAACAGGGGACTTACCCAGGAATAGGAAGAGAGGCAGAGCCTGCGAGGTGTCCATGGTGCTGGCCGCACCTGAGAGGACACTGGAGCGAGACCCAGAGCCTGCATCCATCCCTCCCGGGTTGGACAAGTCCAACAGGACTGGTAGCTTAGCTTCCTGGGCGGGGAAGGGAGCCAGTCCTACTGGGAGGTGCCAGGATCCCTCACACGGTCTGGTGGCTTAGCCACCCACCCCACCTCACTCCTTTTCATCAGCTGGCCCATCTGTGGGGACACCCAGCCTGACCCCTGCACTCCCCACCACCAGGGGGAAGATGGGAAGAACTGAGTCCCAGTTGGAAACATGATAGCAAACCTGTGGGAACAAAGCCAGGAAGACTTCCTGGAGGAGGACGAGGTGACCTTTTGGAGAGCCCCACCTTTGCTGGCTTCGGCCTCAGCTTAGGCTTACTCCTCCCCAGGTTCCTGGCCTCTGTCCACTCTCTCTGGCCTGCAGCCTCAGATACCCATGTCTGACCCTGCTACTCCTCTGGTCTAATCCTCCTATAGTTCCCTGTTGCCTTCAGAACCAAGTCTCAAGTTGCTTTCTCCTGGCCAGTCATCTCTCCTGAGACCCAGAGCTACATTTCCACGTCCCCCAGGCCTTCACACATCCTGTGTCCCGCTAAACTCAGCATCTTCTCTCTAACCAACCCTCCTCCTGGGCTCTCCAGCCTTCAGTCTCCTCCAGTCTTTCTACACCCAGAGCTGGCCCTGCTCTCCCCTGCTCACAGCCCTCCCCAGGCTCCCCAGTGTCCTCTGGAGACAGCCAAGCTCCTAGAGGACCCACCCACTCCTTCCCCACTCCAGCACTTACTCTGAACATCCTGCCATTCTTATGCCCCATCTCTCACCTCCCAGCCTTTTCAAACCCTGTTTTCTCCACCTGGAAAGCGCTGCCTCTTTTTCTGCCACCCTCCCCACCCTGGCTAAACCACAACTTGTCCTTCAGGTCTCACCTTATTGAGAACCATAACAATTGCTACTTATGTTGTGCCAGGAATCACGCTAAATGCTTCGCATGCATTATCAAGGTGAACTCTTCTAAACGCCCTACGAGCTGGGTATCATTATCCTTACTTTACAGACCAGGGCACTATGGCTCAGAAGGGCCAAGGGACCTGCAGAAGGTTGAACCGATGAAGGGAGAAGCTGGACTTGGGCCCAGAATGGTCATACTGCTTACCCCTTCTGAAAGCTTTTCCTATGACCCCATGCTGGGCTTAGGGCATCTGTTCAGCTTCCAGTCCTCAGAGCTGATGCTGGCACAGTTCTCGCCATGCTGGTAATAATAATGGTAATAACATATATTTAGCATGTTCTGCATATCTGGTGTGGTTCTGGAGGTGCTACATAAACTAACCTTTCAAAACCCCATGCGGTAGGTTTTGTAGCTTAAAAGAAGGCTGCAAATTTGACCTTCCTTCCATTAAGAAGTGGGATCTATGTCACCTCCCCTTGGATCTGAGTAGGTTGTCACTGCTAGACCTAGAAAGTACAATGGAAGCGACCCTGTGCCATTTTCTGCATCTAGATTGGCATATCCCACTTCCTATTTCATAGAACATTTCCTCTGAACCCAGCTGCCATTCTGTGAGGAAACTCAAGCAACCCTATGGAGAGGAATCACAGTCCCTGGTCAACAACTGTGGCTGAGGCCCCCAGCCAACAGCCAGCTTGCTGGTCATGTGAGTGAGCCATCTTGGAAGTTAATCTGCTGGCCCTGTTTGAGCCAGTTGAACTGATGCTGCATGGAGGACAGACAAGCTGCCTCTACCTGGCTCTGCCCAAATTTCAGATTTATGAGCAAAATAAATGATCTGTTGTTTTAAGCCACCGAGTTTGGAGTGGTTTGTTATGTTGCAAAAGACAACCAGAACATAGGTATTATTACTAATTCTATCTGAATTACTAATTAGTAATTCACCTGAATGAATTGCTGTTTCCATCTGACAGAGGAGAAAACCTCAGCTTGGAGAGTAGTAACTTGTCCAAGGTCTTCCCAGAGCCAGGAATTGGCCAAACTGGGATTGTGAACCCATGGCCCTGGGATCCAGAACCCACACACTTAATCACTATATGATGCTGTTAGTCTGCCAGATGGAGAAACTGAAGCTCAGAGATAGGAGGTAACTCACCCAAGATCTCATAGCTAGTAAAACTGAGAGTGAGGATTTGAAATCAATAAATCTGACTCTAGGCCCCAGGATCTTCATCCTCACGCTAGGTTTTGATTGTCTGTTGTTTGTCTCTCTCCCCAACCAGAACCAAAGCCTCTTGCATCATTTCTTCTTGTGTCCCAGGTCTCAGCAGGGAACTGACACCCAAAAGGCACAGCAAACACTCTGTGAATAAAAGCCCTTCTCACCCACCTCACTAATATTTGTCTTTCAACACTCAACCTGGATGTCATCTCCCTGAGAAGTCTCTCTGACCCCACAAGCCAGGCCAGTTGCCCTATCTGGGTTCCCAATGGCTCAGTGTGCTTCCATATCTAGCATCCCCACATCTGTCCCCTTCAATACAGAGGCTTCTCAAGGGCAGATACTGAATTTGACTCACCTGAGTTCCCAGCAGCACCTAGCACAGGGCCTGGCACACAGGAGACTTAAATGTTTGTTGAATGAATCAAAGAACAGGTCTCCAGGGAATGAGTTAACAGACAGAAGTTGGGAGAGTCACAGTTTTATTGTCGAATTTCAGGGAGGGGCTCAAATTCGCCCAATCTCCTTCAGCTTAGCCAACAGGTCCTCAGTGGTCTCTACCTTGACACCAGCCATGCGCTGGGGTGGGTCCTCCACGCTGAGCACAGAGATCTTGGAGGTCAGGTCCACGCCCAGGTCCCCAGCTTTGATCACCTCGATCTTCTTCTTCTTGGCTTTCTGCACATGGGAAGCCATAGTTCACAAGGCTGCCAAAGACCCTGGCCACCTCTCTGAACCCTCCTCTCATTGGGTGCCACATTGTAGAACCATTTCTGCCAGCTGAACCCTTCTGGACCTATCCACTGGCCAGGACACATGCAACCTCTCACAGGGCCACACTTGGTGTGGACCATTTCTGCTGGCTGGGCTGCCCTGGGAGGCTCGACTATTATAACAGTCCTAATAGTTAAGTGCCTTGGGAGACCCTTCACTAGCTGCGATAGACTGGCAAACCCATCCTTTTCACAGTAATGACTCAATAGACTTTTTGCTGAGATGACTTTCTAAACCCTCCCTATTGGCTGAAATGACTAATTGAACCCTCCTCCTATTGGCTGAGTGACCCACTGTGCTCAGCCTATTGGCTGAGATGACCCACTGAACCCTCCCTATTGGCTGAGATGACACACTGAACTCTCCCTACTCACTGAGATGACCCACTAAACCCTTTGCATTGGCTGAGATGACCCACTGAACCCTCCCTGTTGGCTGAGATGATGCAGTGAATGCTCTCTACTGGCCAAGATGACCTGATGAACCCATCCTACCAGCCACGATGATTAGTGAACTCTTCCTCTTAGCCAGAGATGCTATGAATCCTTCCTAGTTAGCCTAGACGATAGCTTCCGCTGGCAAAGATTACCAAGGGAACCCTCCCTAGTGAACCAAGATGACCAAATCTCTTTATTTGGCCAAGATTATCCAATTTACTTTTTCCATTTGCTGGAATGACAAGAGGAACCCTTTCTATTACCCAGTGAAGCCTTTTTGTTGGCTGAGACAACCACCAAACCCTCCCTGTTAACCAAAACACCTCCATGAACTTTCACTGTTGGCAGAAATGACCCAGTGAATCCTCCCTAGTCAAAATGACCAGGTGATCCCTTCCTTTGGATGAGAGGTCCCTGGGATCCTGCCCTCCTCCCATCCAACCACTGGGGAGGCACTGGGCCTACAATGTGCTTGCCCATTCCCAGGCCCTTGGTGACCCGTCTGCCAGGTGCTCACCATGATGTTGGGCAATGTGGCATAGCGAGGCTCGTTGAGCCTCAGATCAGCAGTCACCACGGCTGGCAGCTTCAGATGCACGGTCTCCAGGCCCCCATCAATCTCCCGCTCCACTTTCACCTTGTCCCCCTCCAGTGTCACCTGGGAGGCAAATGTACCCTGGGGAGGGACAGCATAGGAAGAGTAGGAGAGATTAATTCAGGTCAGGCCCAGAGCAATGGGAGGCAGAACAGAAAGGGATCCCAAAAGTCTAGGTTAGGGTGGCTTCACTTTCCCTGGGAGCCAAGGCATATGTTCTAATGGCCTGAATCTGCTAGTTAGGTCTCCCCACTTTAATAAGTGAACACGTACTGAGTGTTGGGCCCTGTTCTAAGCAATTTGCATGTATTAAATCATCAAATCCTGGTAGGACCACTATGAGGTAAATGCTATTATCCCCGCTTTACAGATGAGGAAAACTGAGGCAGAAAGATGTGCAATAATGTGACCACCGTTACTGCTGGTAAATCCAAAAGCTGGCAGTCTGGCTCCCTCCTCCACTGTGCCAACAGCAGAACTTCCTGTGCTCACCTCGGTCCTTAAACCACTTTCTGGGACCCCATCCTTTGGCCAAGGCCCCTTTGCCTCTCAGTCCTGAATCAAAATCTTCTCCCTCAGGAAACTGACATGACCTATGACTCCTCTTTGTCTAACTGACCTGTTTTCTCTGTTCAGTCCTTCACTGGACAAATCTTTCAGGTCACAGTTTGAGTACCACATTATTCACAGGCTCATCGGAGTGTCCCTATGAGCCTGGCTCTGGGGATACACTGTGAACACACCAAGAAGGCACCAGCTTTGGTGGGCATATATTCTACCAGGGAAGACAGCCAGTAACCAAGTAAACACACAGACAAATGAGATCATTTCAGATAAGAAGGAATATGAAGAAAACAATACATAAGGCTATGAGAATGAGATGGGGAGCACCTCTACAGAGGCTGGTCAGACAGTGACAAACGGCTGGGAGAAAACAGAGCAGGATAACGGCCTACACAACTGTGCTACCCCACCTGGTGGCCACTGGCCACATGTGGCTACTGAGAACTTACAATGTGCCTAGTGTGGCTGAGGGACAGAATTTTTAAAA